AGTCTTGGGGGCAAGCCCAGACCTCCCTCTCCCTGGCTACTTCCTCCAGTTGGCCCTGGGAACCACCAAGACATTCCCACCCATAATCTCCCCACTGTGTCCTGGGTCTTCTGATGGGACATGCCCAGAACACCTCACCAGGAGGACCCATCTCCAAGGGAGAGGAGAGGCACCTTTCAGAGAAAGCTTGTGTTTCACCTTCAAATGTTTTTTGCCTTGTTTGGTATCATTCTCTTCAGCTCAGTCTCACTGAAATCACACAAAAACATAAAATCCTAGTAGCAGTTTCTTGTTAACTGTAAAAACCATAAAATTATTTTCATAACTTGCAAATACAACTTGCACATTTTGAAAACTTATATTTTAAACAACAAAGTTATATACAACTATTTATCTAAAAATGCACCCACTGCATGTGGCAGGCTGTTTTTTGTACAATCACTTAAAAATACTACTGAAAAATACTATAACTAAAACCAGTTAACAATAAGATGCCCCAATAATTATTTGTGTCAGTAAAGAAAATGTGTCTGTCCACCAGCAGACAGAGGAGCCACCACAGGGAAAAACCTGCAGGCCCGACCGCAGCAGGTGGACAGTGGAGACAGTCTTTACACTGCAATCTGCCTTTGTGACATTCATTAGTGCCCTCACTGACACACAACAACAACTGCACAACACGCTAACTATACACTCCACACTAAGCATCACAAATCTTCCACATCTCAAAACCTGTCTCTCGCTCGCTGCCGCCACCCCTGTAGATCCGCCTGTAGATCCGCCCCTGTATCGGGCTGTAGAGCCGCCCCTGTAGATCCGCCCCTGTATCGGGCTGTAACGTTTAAAGCTTCCACTTGAGGGAGGTAACTCACATTACTGCTGCTGTAGTAGTGTTGCTTTATTGCATTTCAATCATTTATCCTGCGCGTTTGATAGCTAGCAAAATAATAATAATTTTAAAAAAGAGCAACGTGAACAGTCTCGAAATCTATTGATTGAGCCTTAAAACTCTGACATTGTGAAAAGAGCCAAATCCTTTTACTTTTCAGGTGGATTTGGTCCTTGTCACGACTGCAGTGAGTGTCTCAGACTGAAACAAATATGCAGCGGTGCAAGGAAGCAGAGGCGCAGAAATGCTGCTTTTACACTTTGAGTACATTTTACATTTCTCTGATGAGAAAATGATGCAGTCAGACAGTTATTCATGCTGAATGACATACTGTTACAGTTTCCTTCCACTGTCTGATTATGTCCTCAGCTGAAGTCAGCAGCACTCCACCTAAACTACACACAGTGCAGGTGGAGCACTGCTTTCTCCTCCTGAATCACAGTTTGTCCAAACCTCTCCAAACTGCTCCTACACCTGAGGTTTACCTTCAGCCTGAGCCACGTCTCATTTGGCCTGTACCTGTCGGCTGCCTCTGAGGTACCACGGACTAACAAACCCTGACCCTTCAGCCTGATGGGCCCCTCCCCCTCTGCTGTCCACCACCTGGTTTACTTTATTGATTTATAGCACTCTTCACAGGACAAAAACCACATAGTGCTTCAGAATAATATAAAACAGATAAACATAAAACAGCACAATCAAATACTCAGCTAGTCTAAACAAATTAGTCTTAAGATGATGTTTAAAAGAATAAATACAATCCAGGGAATCCAGAGAACTGCACAACCTGGGGGACGCCGCTCAGATCTGTCCCTCAGGTTCAAACATACCAACAGGTTGAGGCTGCGCGAGGGAGTGTGAGGCTCTAAAAGATCAGTAATATGGACAGGACATGATTCAGAGCTGTAAAGGGCAGATTTTAAAATGAATTCTAAGATGTAGCCAGTGTAATGAGTGTGACACTAATGTAGGGCTGGGTACCGTCACTGATTTCTAGAATCAATTTGATTCTGATTCACAAGGTCCCGAATCGATTCGATCCACGATTCGATTTTTTGCCTCAGACAGTCAGAAAAATTATACTTCTGATTGTTCATCATTACATAACCATTTTTATATCTATAAAATATATGTGAGACTTTATCACAGCAGATGTCTTTGTGTCAAAGTGCCTGAGGATAAAACAGAAGAACATGAAGGTGACTTTCTTGGCCTGAGATTTTATAGCAGTTAAAAATATTCTGCAGTAGATCAAAAATGAAAGAAAGTCACGAATCAACATGTGAACATTACCTGATGCTGCTGACGTGCAGCAGAGCAAAGTTACAGACGATTACAGACACAGACAGGGGGTTTGGAATTTTAAGAAGTTTACATTTCTTCAGTACTGAACAGCAGAAATGAGTCTTGTGCGTAATAAGCAAGTGAATAAAGCAGAAAACAGATTTTTAGATGGGAAACTGTTCTTCAAGTACACAGAGAGAGAGCTGTGCATGAAGTGTGACTTTATCGTTCTGGCAGCAAAACAGCCCAAGTCCCCAAAGAGGGAATTCATGACGATGTTTATGTGAAGCATAGTTTGGATCTTCTTTTCTTGATGGTTTAAGTCAACTTTGGTTGGAGAGACAAAACTGCATCATGAGAATCGAACACAAAAAAAGACGTAAACACAAAGCGCGCGCCCGTCAGCGCATCACAATCAGTGGGCTGTCGGCTTTCTCACCTGATGCCATGTTCGTGAGAAAGCCGACATCTCACTGGTTCTGATCCGTCAGAACAGATCAAATATGTGTTTCGGCCAAAATCGATTCAGGATTTTAACGAATCGATATCGTGTTATTCAAGCTAGAATTGATGTGAAGCCCTAACGTAATGCTCTTTTACGTGTCTTAGTTAAAAGCCGTGCAGCAGGATTCTGGCTGGAGACGGTCACGATTGTTTTTGCTCAAAGACAAAGACTTACAGTGATCTAAGAGAGAAGACAGAAGCATGAAGAATCATGTCTAACTCACATTTAGAAAACAATGTTTGCAGTTTGGAGATATTTCTTAGCTGAAAAAGGAGTTCCTAATTAACTGACATCGTAGACTCTGGAATCTCTCCTCCTCGATACGGCAGGAGTCCATGGCCATGACAAATGTACATTAATTTAGTTGCACAGGTAACAACTAAAGGCACCTGAAAGAAACAGGTAAACTGACTGGTAGCAGACACACCGGTAAGACGCACAAACTGACCTCGATGTTGTGTAGATAGTTGCCTCGGCAGCGCAGGTGCTCCAGCAGCAGGTGGCGTTCTTTGGAGCCTGTCGGCAGGGTGCTGGCAGCCAGTACTTCCTGTTCGTCGGCATGCTTCCTCAGCAGGTGGCGTGCGATCTTCACCTGTGGCCGTCGGCAGAACACGCAGTAATGCTTCTTGTCCCAACGGCGCTTCCCGCCGCTCCACGTCCTCTTCACCGTCACGCCCTCCTTCTTGTCCTCCTGGCCCCGCCTCTTCGATTTCTGACCCCGCTTTTTCTCTATATGACCCCGCCTTTTTGCTCTCTGGCCCCTCCTCCCTAAGGTGCGGCGGTGTGGCTGACGTGCAGCGGGCTTTGCCGGCTCTTTGTCAGGAGAGGACGGGGCGTCGGAGGCTGGGACCTCTGTCTTGTTCTCCATGGCAACGTCAGCATGGTCCTCCATGGCAACAGACCTCGATGACACCCTGATGATAAAACAAAGAAGCAGCTTTAGCTGTGAGCTCCACCTGCAGTCCCTCAGCAGGAACACGTAGTTCAGGGACTCTCTGTAACTCTGTGTTTTTGAGGACTCTCGTCTTCATAATGGAGGCAGCCACACCTGCACACCACATCAGTATAGGCATTTCCTTTATGGCGGGGCAGTGTGTGAGTCACAGCTTATAGTGAGGACGACATCGATGCTCGACATTTTCTGTCTAAAGTACAAGAAAGCGCGTTTCAAACATCTGATGCTCCACAGTGTGGAAACATCTGTATTCAGCCTCCTACTCTAAACATGGAGGAGGAGCAGCAGGTGTTCTGAATCCTTCACCTGAGCCACTGAGCGTGATCCTCTGAGGAACCATCGCAGGGTTCTGACACTGAACGCTCCTCACAGGGTTAAAGGTGCACACGTCTCTGCATCAGAGGTTCCTGCAGGGCCCTCAGGCTGTGGTGGAGTCAACATGAACACGAGGCCTCCTCCACACTTAACGTGACTGTGAGGAGAACACCTGGACCAATCAGAACCAGCTCCCCGCTGACACACACACACTTCTACAGCTGGACTCCACATGTGACAAACATCTGGATTATAGAGGCTGACACACTGATCTACCCCAACATCAGAAGCACCTTGAGGAACCAACACGAACCCACCTCCTGATCTGGACCAGAACAAACAGAGCCTCTCACACTGACCCTGCCAGCCGTCATCAGCCTGCAGGTGCTCTCACCTGTGCAGTGACCGGGCTGGAGTCACGCCACGCTCAGGTGTGACTGACAGGCGTCTGTCCGATAATGGAAGCTTATTTACGACAGCCTGGTGCTAACAGCTAGCAGCACACAGGCTAACGCAGCTGTTAGCACGGAGAGCTAACGAGCAGCTAGCTACAGCTAACCAGAACCGGAACCGAGCGCTGCTGGGAACCGGACCAAACCGGAAACACGACCGGAACCGTCAAGTGAGAGTACAGAACCGGGACACTCCTCACCTGCTAACTCCAGCTCTGCGCTCCCTTCTTCTTCTTTTACTCCACCACTTCTTCTTCGCTGTCGGAGGTGAAAGGGCGTGATCCCGGTGCGTTGGCGCCACCTGCTGGTGTGGAGCACTGAGGCTACAGATTCCTGTTAAAGTCAGGCGGTCCAGACTCGAGTCTGTGATGGATGAAGCGGATGTTCACAGAGGGTAAATAGCCGTGGATCTTCAGTAATAGTAATAAATCACACAGCAATAGTACATTCACATAGTTGTAAAAAGCATGATAATATATTAAGTAATCCAAAGTATTCCGAATACGTTACTGTCATTGAGCTACGTAATGGAATATGTTACAAAATACATTTTGGGGCATGTAATCTGTAATGGAATACGTTTTAAAAAGTAACCTTCCCAACACCAAGGTCATTATCGTTAACGAAAACTAGAAGTGAAAAAACATTTTCGTTAGCGGAAATAAAAATAAAAAGGAAAATAACTACAACTGTAATGAGTGTTCACAAAGCTAAAATTAACTGACTTTATAGCAAAGGTGTGTTGAGTTTTCATTGATGTGTGCGTGCAAAACTATTAAAACCCTGCCCAACACAGATCTTCTGTAACTGCAGACAAAAAGTGCTTGAACAACATATTTTAACAAAGGCTGAGAATACCTGTGCATGTGTTATATTTTTCTCTTAAATGTTTTAATAAACATTTAAGAATTTTGATTTGGAGTACTGTGTGTAGAATACTGAGGTCAAAATGAATGTCATCCTTTCTGGAATAAGCCTGTGACATGACAACTTGCTATTTTTAGGATGCAGTGGTACCATCACAGGACCACCACAGACCAGGACTCCCAGGGACCTGCAGGAACCGTTTAGAACCACCTGTTTGGCCTCTCTGTCCGGGGTTGTGCCCCAGTGCTCATCACACAGAGGAGTGTGAGGAGAACCATACACTAAACATACAGAGAACTTTAAACACCTTTATGGTTAAATGAGGGCAAAGGGCCTTGATCCCTTCATTAGCTCTTTCACACAGAGCTGGTTCTGCCTCAGCGTCTTCAGAGAACCAGCCCACCGTTCTACAGGTTTAAGACGTAGAGCTGTGGGCTGGTTCATATGAATCTTCCTATGAAGATACATTTGGGGCAAATTCTGATTATGGAAGACAGTATCTGACGACTGACGCTACCATCTGTGGTCTTTCAGCAGGAGCTCCTCCCAGAACAGGTAACATCAAAGGCTCCAACACTGGACCACTAAGGTGCTGGTTTTGGTTTTTGGTACCCGCCTTTTATAATAAGATCAGGCACTGGCACGTAGTCGGTATAACTC